AAAGCCTGCCTAGTTCAGCAATGGCTAGGATGGAAGCAGCAATTTCAGAACTCTTAAATATCTGTGAGTATCAAATTACACACTGGCGGGCTTTTGTTGTGAGAGGGTTGTTTGCAGGGTTGTCAGAGTGAATACTGGAGATAACACCTATCCATCTAATGTGGATGCAGAACTGACGATTTTAGCAGGTGTTTATTGACCTCATGATGCAAGCAGGAGCATCTATTGACCTCATGATACAAGAGATCTCTCCAGTTTTCGATCTAGCACCCTTAGTTATTCCTTATGTACATTCAGTTTGAGTTAGAGGTTGTGAAACTGATTGCAGAGGAGGTTCTGAAAGAGTGTTTACTTCTTTCTATTGGCTGTGATTGCAATCAAAATACAAAGGGTAATATGGGGAGACACCCATCAGTGGTGAAATAGTCATTAATTAGTATTATTTTAGTTTCAAAAACAGCTTGAGAAAAAGGAGTTAATCTCATTTCCTAATATCAGATCCGTGAAAAGCAGGCTGGACACAATAAATGTCCTGCTAGAACAGGAGGACCCAAAAGATATGTTGAAAGTTATCCATTGCTCAACTTCATGACTAGGCCTCATCTGGAGTTTTATGGGATCAGGAATTCCCAAACAGACCCTTATAGACTCTCCAAGGTGTTTCTCCAGGCAGTTGCCCTCCTCTATAGCAGAGACCCATATCTCCAGATTGGCCCATGTCTAGAAAAAGTTGTCTGAGAGGTCAAAGTCTCCAAACCATTAAGGCAGTGGTTCTCTATCTGTGAATCCCCAGATGTTTTAGTCTTCAACTCCCAGAAATCCTAACAGCTGGTAAACTGGCTGGGATTTCTGGGAGTTGTAGGCCAAAACACCTGGGGACCTACAGGATGAGAATTACTGCATTAAGGCCTTTTCATGGAGAGACTTCAACCTCTGCCTTCAAAGGGAGTTCTGTGATTTGGATGTGTAAAATAGTCTCTTCCACCATTTAGACTTGTTGGAGCATGGTCTTCACTTGGAGCTTTCCATGGTGCCACAACTATTGGTCTGAATTTTTCAATGAGCATCTTGTTAGGGCCAGGACAATGACGGTATCTACTTGCTGTCTTATTCTGTTATGATAGGGCATTGTGTAATAACATCATCTTACGCCATTGGCTATGCTGACTAAAACTGCGGGGAGCAGCAATCCAGGAATATCTGGAGGCCCACATGGTTCCCATCCCTGCTCTATGATCTGCTTTCTCTTGTTATATCAATTCCAACTTATGGCAACCCTATCATAGAGTTTCCTTGGCTAGATTTATTTCAAGAAGGTTTGCCATTTCCTTCTTCTCAGGCTTGTCAGTGTCATCAAGTAGGTTTTTGTGGCTGAGTAAAGATTCAATCTCTGGTATCCAACACTCAAACCACAACCCCACTTTAGCTCTTTTGAACTTGTTGCTTGCTTTTCTTAGTTGCCATATTTAAAAGATGTGGATTCTACTCTGCTTACAAATATCTCTCATTCATTATATAAAACAGAAAGGGTAGAATTGGAAGAAGGTAAAAACATATAATCTGAACACAGGAAAAGAGGTTCATTTTTTAATGTTCTAATCAAGAATGTTCAGTCTTAAATCCCTTTTTGGCCTGGTGGACTGATTCTAATTAAAAAATAACTACTTTCCATGCATAAAATTGAATCTGTGGCTAGTTCCACTCAGTCCAAAGCCAACAACACTTCTCCGTATTTTCTTCTAGTGTGCAATGTGCGTCTCTAGTAGCTCCTTTGATTTTTTAAAGGGGATTTTTGAATAAAATATTGTGGGGAAAACGCCTACTGGACCAGCAAAGAAACTGGTAGTGGATGTCCTCTTGAAGGTAATCCTCCTGGACCCAGTTCCTGCCCATTCATTCGGTACCCATTTCTTCAACAATGTCACTGAAAATGTGATGGCCACATTTAACAGCCAATTTTGGCTATGTAGCATTTTTGTTAGATAGCAGATGAATGTGGGAGCCAATTTTCTTCCCCATGAACTCTCTAGGAGCCAAACAGACTGCCCCAAAATATGTGTGTGTTGGATGAAACTAAAAGGAAACTGTCTAGAAACTGGTTTCTGGTATAAGAAACTGGTATTTGGGATATTAAAGAGTGGTGTAGAAGTTTCAAACTATTTGAAAGGTGAATTGCCACTCCTGATGACTTCCAAGAAAGGGAATTAACTGGTTTTGGCCAGAGAAAATGTGATTTTAACGGGGCTGAAGATTCCAGAAACAAATGGGGGCAGTTCGTATGGTTCATTACTGATCTAAAAACATTTGAGTCCAGCTTTAGACTTAGGTGTAATACTAAAATTTATTTCTGATGGGATGACAGGAGAAATGCTAGTTGATCATGCTCAATCTCTTATCGCTGACTATATAGCCTCCTGGAATGACTTTGCTACAATTCTGTTCCTGGTGACAGGATTGCTAACAGGGTAACTTTGGGGACTGCTGTTTGGTTGCATAATAGCCTTGTGTTGATTTTTTGAAGATGTATATGTGAGGAAGTATTTGAAGATGTGGAATACAAAGGAACCAATGTGAAGATGGCAACCAGCTTTCTATGTGAATCTGAAAAAGATGTTGCTGGACCAGTACCTGAAAGTGATGATAGCATGTGAAAGTCTGAAAATTTTAGGATAAATCACAGCAGGTCAAAGATGCTCTGGGTTAAATAGTCCTCAGAAGAAGAAATTGGGCAATTACCCTATTATAGGAGCCATAACCCTCCCCTTGAAGCACCAGAGTTGGAAGTTGTTCTTGAATGCAAACATTGTCACTGGAAGCCCAGGTGACCTCACTGGTGAAGAATGCTTATGCCTGTTATTTATTTATTTATTTACTTTATTTATATACCGCTTTTCTCAGCCCTCAGGCGACTCAAAGCGGTGAACAACATCGATACAAAACATCACAAGACAAGTATAGGGCAATTAAAAACAATTGTAACATAAATCATTAAACATCAGTATAACAATCATTAGCGCCTCAACAGTAAAATCAGAATCCAGTCTCATCATCTATTATTCCGTATTCCTATGTTCAATTACACTGTTTAATCAAATGCTTGTTCGAACAGCCAGGTCTTCACTTTCCTCCGAAACGCCAGCAGGGAGGGGGCCGATCTGATATCTGCAGGCAGGGCGTTCCACAGCCGAGGGGCCACCACTGAGAAGGCCCTGTCTCTCGTCCCCGCCAAGTGCGCCTGTGATGCAGGCGGGACAGAGAGCAGGGCCTCCCCAGATGATCTTAGTGTCCTAGTTGGTTCATAGGAGGAGATACGTTCGGAGAGGTAAATAGGGCCAGAACCGTTTAGGGGTTTATAGGCTAACGGCAGCACTTTGAATTGTGCCCGGTAGCAAACTGGCTGCCGAACGCTGGACCATTAGAAGCTTCTGAGCAGTCTTCAAAGGCAACCCCACGTAGAGAGCATTGCAGTAGTCTATACGGGATGTAACCAGAGCGTGGACTACCGTGGCCAAGTCAGACTTCCCAAGGTACCGGCCTTGGCTGATTTGCTGTTCCTTGGCCAAGGCAGCTTTGCCTCTTGACTGGACTGTTATCATGTACTGTAGATAGGGCTTTGCTTGAAGATAGTCTTAAACTTCAACATGCCTTGGCCAGGCTATTTGGAGCAGCAAACTCTAATCTTGGTATTTTAAACTGTATTTATTTTTTAAAACTCACAATGCTGATGCTAATGAACAAAACCTGTAAGTCACGCGCATATAATAATAATAATACTTTATTTATACCCCACCACCATCTCCCCAAGAGGACTCGGAGCGGCTTACATGAGGCCAAGCCCGGCAACACATCAATAAAACAAAAAGCCATAAGCAAATAAAACAATACAATTAATATAAACAAAATACAAACAATAACACGCAAGGATTTTAAAACCTACCCTTTACTAGAAAAATAGAAACAATGCAAAAAGAATGAAGTTATCATTTGTTGTTACAATGTATGTCTTTGTTTATTTTAAAGCAGATATGAATCCTACTTACTTTGCTCTTTCTAGTAAGTTACTTCTAAGCTCCATCCCCTCCTCAGGTAACTGAGTATTGTTTCCCTTCCCTTCCCCTCCAGCAAAAAGGTTCTAAAACTTGCAGCGACTGTAATTTTCTAAGCTCTCCTGCAAGCTGTAATTTTCTAACTTTAGCCCTTTGTTTTTAGAGTAAGCTGATCTTTTTTGGGGTCATAAGCATGAGTCCTCTCTGGTCTGGAGAGCTTATGGTTTTTTTAAAAGCCACATAGCTTGGAAAATGGGGAAATCTTGGATCTTGGGGAAGTGACTGCTTCCCAGAAATTACCCTCCCGGCTTTTGTTTGGGGGAAGCTGACAACTCCTCCTCTTCTTTGCCTCTTTTGTAGTTGCTCGGGAAAGGGATCTCATCAGTGGTGAACTTGTAAAAACATTGGTGCCTGGAAGCCACATCTTACGAGCCAAAAACTCTGCCTGTGAGCATGGCAGCAGTTTGAGGCCTTAATCTGGAGGCCCTGGTAGGATTTTTGCTAAAAAGGTTAGTTGAAATTGTAGGGTTAGTCTTTGTTCAGAGTTTTGGAGAAAATCTGCAAGGAAATTGTTGTATGAATGTGTCACTAACCTTCAGAGCATTGTTTATTGTTTACTTTGGCTTCCCTGCCATCTTCAGTCTGATTCACATGATTTTCACTGAGTACTTTGCTAGTGATCTGTGGCTACTAAAGCCTCATATCTCCAAATTTAGTCAATTTCCCATATTGTGCCTGTTGTCTGTTTTGGATAGAGTGGTGCATTCTGTTTAGATACATTGCACGGCTTGAGGATTCTGAGAGTTATGGTCTCCAAGTAACTTTTCTGACTCTGAGAGAGTAAAGCAAAGAGTTGTCCCTAGGTGGTCTTCCTGATTTGGCTGCTTTATGGCGGTGTTGATGACAAGTGCTTTTTTTATTCTACTCTGTCTCTCTGTTTTTTTGTTTTCTCAGATTCCGGGGTATTTCTCATCTATAGCAGTGGTCTGCAGGGCTGCTTGGAGACAAAGGACTCCCTGGTGAAAATAGCCAGGATTTGCAACACCAGTCATCCAGCTCAGAAGTGGAAATGGGTTTCACGAAATCGGCTTTTCAACATTGGAACTATGCAATGCTTGGGGGTCTCCTGGAAGTCTGCAAATACCAGCACAGCTGCCCATGCACTAGCTACCTACGAGTGTGACCGAGAATCCATTAACATGCGATGGAACTGCCGCACCCTTGGAGACCAGCTTTCGCAGTATTTGAGCTCCAGGTTGGGGAATTGGTCTCTCACGCCAGCCGAAAGGGGAGACCAAGCACGGGGAGGACAGTGGAAGATCTACAACCATGATGAAGATTTGTGCTCCAGGCCATACTCTGGTAAAGCCTGCATGAGAAGACTGAAACTTAATCTTGTCACTTTTTGTTGTAGCTGAGCTATTTTCCCTCTGTTTCTTGGAGTTGTCCAAAATTTAGTATCCTTCACTCCAATAACATATCCTTTAATTAAGCACACATCTGTCCAAACTAAATTGAAAGAAGCCACTAGTTCCCATGGCTATTTTAAAATTGTTTAGCTAGATCCAGAATGAGTAGTCTTTCATTCTTTCTTATAGTGACAAGGCATGATGCTTTTGAAATTCTCAAGTAGGACATGAAAGGCATCCCTTGGAGTGTTGTGTAATTTCTGGGCTGCATGGCCATTTTCTAGCAGCATTTTCTCCTGATGTTTCACCTGCATCTGTGGCTGGCATCTTCAGAGGATCAGGAGAAACACTCCACACAACACTCCAGTGATTATGGCCTTCGACAATACGTCCCTTGCTGTTTGACTTTAACAACTGGCAGTATTTATTTATTTGTCGTGTCAGGGCAACCAGTCAATTATATTACATTTCTAACAGCACAAAGCAAACAAACAGACAAAATACGAAATTTATGAGTTTGGTAGTTGATTAAATGTCCTTTGACCAGTATCTGGCCACTTGGAGTGCTTCTGGTGTTGCTGCAAGAAGGTCCTCCATTGTGCATGTGGCAGGGCTCAGGTTGCATTGCAGCAGGTGGTCAGTGGTTTGCTCCTCTCCACACTCGTATGTCGAGGATTTCACTTTGTAGCCCCATTTCTGAAGGTTGGCTCTGCATCTTGTGGTGCCAGAGCGCAGTCTATTCAGCGCCTTCCAAGTTGCCCAGTCCTCTGTGTGCCCAGGGGGGAGTCTCTCATTTGGTATCAGCCATTGGTTGAGGTTCTGGGTTTGAGCCTGCCACTTTTGGACTCTCGCTTGCTGAGGTGTTCCAGCGAGTGTCTCTGTAGATCTTAGAAAACTATTTCTAGATTTAAGTCTTTGCGTGCTGGCTGATACCCAAACAGGGGATGAGCTGGAGATGTCTCTGCCTTGGTCCTTTCACTATTGGCTGCTACTTCCCGGCGGATGTCAGGTGGTGCAATACCAGCTGAGCAGTGTAATTTCTCCAGTGGTGTAGGGCGCAGACACCCCGTGATAATGCAGCATGTCTCATTAAGAGCCACATCCACTGTTTTAGTGTGGTGAGATGTGTTCCACACTGGGCATGCATACTCAGCAGCAGAGTAGCACAGCGCAAGGACAGATGTCTTCACTGTATCTGGTTGTGATCCCCAGGTTGTGCCAGTCAGCTTTCGTATGATATTGTTTCTAAAACCCACTTTTTGCTTGATGTTCAGGCAGTGCTTCTTGTAGGTAAGAGCAGGTTCAGAGTGACTCCCAGGTATTTGTGTGCGCTGCAATGCTCCAGTGGGATTCCTTCCCAGGTGATCTGGCAGTCAAATTGTATATAGCCACTAAACATGATTCAGGCAAATGGGGCTAATGGTTTCAGATGGAGCCATAAATGTGAAGCTTTTTTTTTTTAAAAAAAGTAGTATGTTTTATTGACCATCTTTCTCAGAACTGATTGCATGAAGAAGTTTTTCTTACTCTCCCAACTAAGAGAGTAAGCAATCCAAACTGAAATTAGGAAGAATTGAGTATTTGATTGTACTTTGCTTTAAAAAAATAGTTTAGTTGTCTGTTCGGAGCTCTAGTGTATTTTAATTTCCTGACGTGTTTATCTTGAAATGATCTCTTACCATAAAATTGGCCAACCCACTCTAGGTTTTGTGGCTTCCTCCCACAACTGTTTTGACTTATATTGGAAACATCCATGTTCTAGAGTGACTTTGTTTCTGGCAGAGGTTTGACTGCAGGAAAAAACAAAACTGTATTCCTTACTGGAGAGGTGAATCAAGATTATGATGTTGAGAGACTCCTCGTTGACTTCTAAGCCATTGGCCTTTAAGGTTGCTCAGGATTCCATCCTGTCCCTGGTGCTATTCAGCAGCTGAAAGCACCAGGAGACGTTGTCTGGAGGTCTATGATTTGTTATGTAGGTAACATTAGCTGTATTTCTACTACCCACGAAATTCCAAGGCAAATGTTTTGATTCTGAAATGTCTGGAATTTGTAGTAGAGTGGATGAGAGCAAATTAATTGACACTTAATCCAGAGAAGTCAATTGTGCTCCTGGGTCGGTGAAATGCAGATCAATGAATAGATTCAGACTGCGCTGAAGACGGGTTACATTCATCTTCAATATGCAGGTTCACTATTTAAGTGTACTCTTGCACTCATTCCTAAGCATGGAGGCCCAGGGTTCTGAATTGGTCATTAATGCTTTGATACAGTTTAGTTACATCCTATTTGGATTATTGTAATGCACTTTAAGTGGGGCTGGCTTTGAGGAGTGATTGGAAACGTTTAAGTGCAGCCAAATTGTTAACTGGGGCCTTTTACAGGAATCATATCACTCCCTTGCTCTGGTTGCTAGTTTGTCTTCAGATACAATTCAGAGTACAGATTATGTCCTATAAAGCCCTGTACTGGCAGATATTACTTTCCTTTGTGAGACTTTGAGAAGGACCTTCAGGAAAGGATCTTCTTTCAGTCTCACCATCTTCAGAGGCATGGTTGGTGGAAATATGAGGAAGAACCTTTTCAGTGGATCTCCCAAAACTTTTGAAATGGCTCCCTCCTTATTGTCCTTCTTATAGTAAGCGAACATTTTTTAATATTCCAATAGATTTCTAGGACTGAAGGTTTTTAATGAAAGGGCATAACACAAACACTGTATTGTTTGACATTATACAGCACTGATATTTAAATTACTATTATCGTTTTAAGTGTATATTTTACATTTTTTAGTATTGTTAATAGTTTAAAACTATTTTAATTCTGAACTGTATTTTAATCATTTTAATTTGTAAGCTTCCCTGATTTCCAACTATGGGGAAAAGATGGGGTAGAACTAAAGATGATGATACCAGCAGTTCCCTCCTCCCATATCATGAAATAACAAAATATAATGAACTGTGTGAAATTCAGTAGCATTATGTAACAGGGATTTATTCATTTATTTTATTTTATAACCCATCTTTCTCCCTACAAGAGACCCAAGATGGATTTTAAAAAGGTTAAAACCAGATATAGCACAGCTGGAATCCTGATGTTACAAAAGCATTTAAAAACAAATTAGTGGTTATGTCTGGGGAAAATTGAAGGAAAAAAGAAGAGAGGCTGACCAAGGGCAAGATGGATGAATGACATCCTTGAAGTGACTGGACCGACCTTGAAGGAGCTGGAGGTGGTGACGGCCGACAGGGAGCTCTGGCGTGGGCTGGTCCATGAGGTCAGAAGAGTCGGAAATCACTGAACGAATGAACAACAACAACAAGTGGTTATGTACAAAATACCAATAATTTGAAGCAGTCGAAATCATTTGAAAAACATAACAGTACAGATAAAACTTTGCATTAAATAAAACAGAAAACTTACTTATTTAGAGGATCAAGGGCATTGCCAGTGTGAAATCTCATTTAGGACATTTTATCAGAAATCCAAATATTTAAACTATTTATTTTGCGTTGTTTATGTCATCTCCCAAGTAGAAGGGGGAGGGGGAAGCCAACAAAAATGGTACTTCTGAGATGTGGGTGTTTGACATTTGCTTCTTTTCCAAAATGCTCATCAAGCTCATATCTGTAATTTTCATTTTGTCACTGTAGTTCATAGTTTCTTTTGCCCAGGAATGGCCTGGCTCCAAAGCCACAAACCATGAGGCACTTTGGATTTCTCTTGAGTTCAACCGTTTGTGTCAGTCTGCATCGGAAGCAGCTGTGTGGTGGAGTTGTAAAGGGCACCTCGGTCTAGTTTGGATCCAAGTTACTTTAGTCAGGCTAAGCTAGCTACTGATTTCACAGGAACCTAAATTTGATTACTTTAGTCTTGATCTTATCATCAAGCCTGTGCATTTATTCAGTGGTTCGACAGTCATACCATGAAAGTGCACAAATTGACTTTTTTATGTGTCAGGAGTGACTTGAGAAACTGCAAGTCACTTCTGGTGTGAGAGAATTGGCTGTCTGCAAGGACATTGCCCAGGGGACACCTGGATGTTTGATGTTTTACCATCCTTGTGGGAGGCTTCTCTCATGTCCCTGCATAGGGAGCTGGAGCTGACAGAGGGAGCTCAACCCGCTCTCCCCAGATTTGAACCGCTGACCTATTGGTCAGCAATCCTGCCAGCACAAGGGTTTAACCCATTGCACCACCGGTGATTAGTTGATCAAATTGGCAGATTTTGTAGATAAACATTTAATGCCCTTAAAGCTACAAAGATAAACAGATATATAATTATGACTTGAACTTGCGTGATCTTAATTGGTTGTTTATAGTTGATATTTTAGCTATCGTTTTAAATGTAAATTGTTATTATTGTCTTTGTTTGGGCATCTAATGGTTGCCCATTGTGAGGCTGCCCTCAGTGCCTCCGGGGGTGAGAAGGACAGGATACAAATGTATTAAATAAATATATAAATAATAAATATGTGGGTGGTACTCAGGAAGTCTCAAAACAGGAACTTAGGCCCCCTCTACACTGCCATATAATCGGGTTTCTGAATCCGGATTATCTACTTTGAACTGGATTATATGGCAGTGTAGATGTGTATAATCCATTTAAAAGCAGTTAATCCGGATTCAGAAACTGGATTATATAGCAGTGCAGATGCAGCCGTAGTTTTAATCTGATTAATTAACTCAGGCTACGAAATTCATCTCTCATTAGAAAATAATTTGGGCCACCTTAATGCAGTTTATATTAAAAATGTAGTACAAAACTGTTCAATTAGATCCTGAATTAATTATGTTGAGAGGAAATCCATTGAAATAGATGTGATTTAAATGAAGACATCCCCTAAGCATGGCAAAATCTAGATCTGACCCACATATTGTAGTAAAACAGCATGATTTTCTTTTAAAAACGAAACTTGACTAAAAGAGCAGTTTGCACACAAGAATTGAGTTGTATCCCAGAATGCATACTGGGTAAAGGGTATCCTCCAACATAAAGTGAGGAGGTGGAGGGCCCATTATGGCAACAGTGTTGAGTAGAGCATTTCACTATTTCTATTATTTCCACTGTAAAGGGATGCGTTGGATTGCGCTCCCCTCACTTCTTTTAAAACCCTCCTACCAGAGATATCCTACCTTGTTCATACCCAGTGTTTATTTTTTAATTTTAAACTATTACATTTGGCCCAGCCATAGGTTTTTAAATTCTTGTGTGTTAATGTTTATATGTGATTTGTATTAATTGTATTGTTTTTGTTTATTGCTTTCTTGTTTTATTGATGTGTTGTTGGGCTTGGCCTCATGTAAGCCGCTCCAAGTCCGTTGGGGAGATGGTGGCGGGGTATAAAGTTTTTTAAATTATTATTATTATTATTATTACTACTACTATTGGGAGAGGGGGAGGGGGTGAAGGAAAGACATACATTTTTCATACACTGCCCAAGATCTGTTTGGCTGCTGAATATTTAAGAATTTATTTTAATGCACAGGTCTACTTTTATGATTTTGGTGGAGAGCTGGTGTAATGACCTTCAGGCTTTTCAGTTTGCACCCTACTCTTAACAAACAATTTTTTTTTCATGTCAGGAGTGATTTGAGAAACTACAAGTCACTTCTGGTGTGAGAGAATTGGCTGTCTGCAAGGAAGTTGCCCAGGGGATGCCAGGATGTTTTACCATCCTTGTGTGAGGCTTCTCTCATGTCCCCGCATGGGGAGCTGGAGCTGACAGAGGGAGCTCATCCACACTCTCCCCAGATTCGAACCTGCTACCTTTCGGTCTTCAGTCCTGCTGGCACAAGAGTTTAACCATTGTGCCACTGGAGGCTCCCAACAAACAATTAAGTACAGCCCATATTGTCCTTACCTGATGCAGAATTTAATGTTAAGTTTATTAATGCAGAGTGTGCATAGTTCTTCTGCATGTGGAAGAAATTTCATCATGTGCTCAATGGAGCAATCTTCCAGCTGTAATGTGTGTTGGATTAACTTGAGGTCAGGCATGGTATGCGGAGGACATATTTGGCCAAAGGAATTTGAAAGGGCTCACTGAATTTTATGCAGGACCCTAGATAAGCGCTTAGAAAGGGGTGTTTTTTGTATTAGAATGACAGTGGATTCTGGACATTGTAGCCCAAAAGATTTTTTCCCAAGCTCTGGGTGTAGATAACAGAGATATTTCATGAAATTATATTATTTTGGGAAGGCTGATATTGCATCATGATTTTTTTCCTCCTCCACTCTAGAAATTTACACCATCCAAGGCAATTCTCATGGGAAGCCCTGCACCATCCCTTTCAAGTATGATAATCAGTGGTTCTATGATTGCACCAGCATGGGTCGTGGAGATGGTCATCTCTGGTGTGCTACTACACAGGACTATGGCAAAGATGAACGATGGGGATTCTGTCCTATTAAGAGTAAGCTCCATTCTGTATGAAACTCTGGGCAGTGTGTAATGTTGAGTTTCTGAGTTTAACTCTTGAAGTGTTGAGTCCACTTTGTTCTTCAGGCCTCTTTGCTCTCCTTTTCCATGCCTTCCTCTTATGTCTCCTGCTAGTATTTCAAGATATAGCAATATCAGCATCCTCACACCTTCAGGCCCCTTCTCCATCCTTCCTACCCTTTGTCATTATTTCCAACCAGTATCGCACAAAGTTATGTTGGGGTCTTCTCTAGCCAGTTTGACCTTCTTCAAACAGGAGCTGCACTGTTTTATTCCTTTCTGTGGTGGATTCTTCACCCTCAGTAGCTAAAATACTGTAAACATTCAATGCAAACACAGCAGTTCATTTATTGGGAAAAGGGATTAAACAGAGATCTCTTACCCTACAATGCAGATAAGATAGGCATGAAATACCATGCAGCTATAATAGAGTGGAAGCACTTGTATAGAAGCACATTTTGACAGAGTTAAGCAGTTCCCATGATTGTGACAGATAGTATGCCATATATGAAAATATATTAATTCTGAGTAGGTTAAATATTTCGTTGAGCAAACTTACTGTATATACTCGAGTATAAGCCTAGTTTTTCAGCCCTTTTTATAGGCTGAAAATGTTCCTCTCGGCTTATACTCGAGTCAAGATTATTTATTATTTATTATTTATTATTTTACTCTGTTATTATTTTTGTTACATGTATTATTTTAAATGACCACTCACAAGCTGGTTTTGCTTTGAAATGGATATATTGCTTGTATCTCTGCAGGCATCCTGACTGAATCATCCTGGCTGCCTCAATTCTCTCTCTGTGACATTTTGAAAAGGGTGCTGGAAACCTTGTATTAGAACTTGTGAAGCAACAAGGTCTAATAAGGAAACTGAGAAGAGGGGGGAGTTGGGCAGGAAAGGTATATAAAAGGAAGTGGGGGTGGGAAAAAGTCAGTAGTGTCTTTCTTTGCTGCAGAGATACAAGCAATATATCAATTTCAAAGCAAAACTGGCTTGTGAGTGGTCATTTAATATTGCTATATAGATCCTACAGTCTTACATTGGCATCCCTAGGTGTATTATTTTACTCTATCATTATTGCATTTATCATTTTACTCTATTATTATTACATTATTATTTTACTTAATGTTATTATTACATTTATTATTTCACTCTATTATTACTGTTATTACATTTCCATTATTTTACTCTATTATTATTATTATTATTATTATTACATTTATTATGTTACTCTTATTATTGGAAGGATACATAAGCACATTGAAGATGCTTAGAATCAGAGTTGGACAGTCTTATCTTAAATTACAGTGCTATGTAAACATTCAAAAACATTTAACCTTCTGATGCCTCAGTTAATGTAATTTTATTGGTATTTGTTTTTATTTTGAAATTTACCAGTCACTGCTACATTTTCCACCCTCGGTTTATACTTGAGTGAATACGTTTTCCCAGTTTTTTGTGGTAAAATTAGGTGTCTTGGTTTATATTCGGGTCGGCTTATACTCGAGTATATACGGGTTAATAAAAACTGCATTTGCCATCCTGCAAATGCTTTGTTTGAATAATTTGAGTGAAACAAAGGTTTGCCTATATAAAAACACTGCTGCCCATCCCAAGTTATTGTTTATCTCCATTGTTCCCAGTCTACCTTACACACACCCCTTTCTCTCCCCGAAATCTTCCCCTGACCTCAGTTACGTAATACAAAAGCTGGAAAATGACCCCATTCCTTTGCACTTGACTATTATTACATGTCCTGCAAAGTGGCCAAGTCTCTTTGTTACTTTTTCCATGCAGCCACTTGCTCCCAGATTGACTGTTGATGCATTAGAGCAGTGGTTCTCTCCTGTGAGTCCCCAGATGTTTTGGCCTTCAACTCCCAGAAACCAGCTGGTAAAATGGCTGGGATTTCTGGGACCAAAACACCTGGTGACCCACAGATTGAGAACCACTACATTAGAGTATTGGGTCTATTAATTTGCAGTAACTTCTTTTCATCACCTCTCTACTTAGGTAATGACTGTGATACGTTCTGGGACCGAGACCAGCTTACTAGTAGCTGTTATCAGTTCAACTTTCAGTCCACCCTTTCTTGGCAGGAAGCTGGGAAGAGCTGTGAGCAGCAAGGGGCCAACTTGCTCAGTATCACTGAGATCCACGAGCAAACTTACATCAATGGTGAGCAATGGGTTCCTTACCTCTGTTGGTAAAAATAGCCAGGATGTTTATTTTGCTCAATACAGCTGTCCTGTCTGTGTCTGCTGACAAATGCTGTTTGAGTAATCCTGTTTTCCTTGATCTGCTTCAGTGACTGGAAACTAGGTTTGTTCAGGTGTCACAATGAGTCGTTGGAGAATGGGTAAATGTATGTAAAAGATTTGTATGCTTTGCAAGAGAAAGAAAAGCTTGCAAATATTAGGAGTGAGCAGATCACTCAAGAGTAAAGTCATTTAGAAAAGACTAGACTGCACTGAATGGGTATCAGGAGAGGATCTTGTAGCTAGCTTTGGTATGGTAGGTGGATGGAGAGAAAAAGACCTGGATGCTTGTTTGGGACCAGCAGGTGAAAGTATTACTAATGCTTTATAATGGAGGGCCTTGTACTGTGACACTCTCCTCTTTCTATCTACTCCAGGGCTGCTAACAGGATATGGATCCACCCTTTGGATTGGGCTTAATGATTTGGATCTCAATGGAGGCTGGCAGTGGTCAGACAACTCACCCCTGAAGTACCTTAACTGGGAAAGTGGTAAGGCAGAAGCAAATGTAGTATAGGTACCTTCTACTGCAAGGTTTCTCAACCTTCCTAATGCTGTGACTGCTTAATTCAGTTCCTCAAGTTGTGGTGACATCAACCATAAAATTATTTTTATGGCAACTTCATAACTGTAATTTTGCTACTGTTATGAATCGTAATGTACATATCTGATAYGCAGGATGTATCTTCATTCACTGCACCAAATTTGGCACAAATACCCAATACGCCCACATTTGAATACTGATGAGGTTGGTGGGGGGGGGGGTGTTGATTTTGTCACTTGGGAGTTGTAGTTACTGGGATATATAGTTCACCTACAATCAAAGATCATTCTGTACTCCAAAAACGATGGGACTGAACCAAACTTGGCACATGGAACTCCCATTACCAATAGAAAATACTGGAAGGGTTTGGTGGACATTGATCTTGAGTTTTGGAGTTGTAGTTCACTTACATCCAGAGAGCACTGTGAACTAAACGATGATGGATCTGGACCAAACTTGCATAAATACTCAATGTGCCCAAATCTGAACACTGGTGGAGCTTGGGAGAAATAGAGCTTGAGAAATAGAGTTATAGTTGCTGGGATTTATAGTTCACCTACAATCAAAAAGCATTCTGATCCCCACCAACGATAGAATTGGGCCAAACTTCCCACACAGAACCCCCATGACCAACAGAAAATACTGTGTTTTCTGATGGTCTTTGGTGACCCCTCTGGTACCCCCTGGCAACCCCCTTAGGGGTCCCGACCCCTAGGTTGAGAAACACTGATTTACTGTGTAACAAAATTTTTGTTCCTGGGTTATAAATGTCATTTTCTAATTGGTTCTATCATAAAAACAGGGAGAAAGTCTATTAAACTGCAATAAAAAAGATTTTTACAGAACATCCTGCAGCACATTTTGCTGCAATCAATTCAACATAGTTTGCGGCAGCCACAAAAACAAGGTTTCTAGAGTATAACCACTACTTTAAAAGTAAGTACCACACAGTTAAATAGGAATAACATTTTCAAACCAAGAACAGAAAACATTCCCAAATTTTGTTACATGGTGGTGTTAACATAATCTTCTTGCAACTTCAGGCTGTTGTCATATGTCATTTACTTATTTTATAGTCTCCCCTGCATCAGAGTATTTTGAGAGAGACAGGTACAGGATAGATAGATCCTTGTCTTATAAGTGGTTCATGAATAAAGCTGAGTGTATCCTATAAAGCTAAGTGGAAATTTGGATCCAGGGAATTCTAAAATAGTATAATATATATACATCCCTATCTGTGACTTTACCCTTAGGATCAAGCCATACATAATATAGAAAAGATTTATTGAGGACTAATACAAAACCATTTTCTTCCTGACTCCAACATTTGCCTAATAGAGGTATTTGCTAGGAACTCAAACTGACTTAACCATGTGGCTCTTAATGAGACATGCCACATTATCATGGGGTGTCTGTGCCCTACACCACTGGAGAAATTACACTGTTTAGCCGGTATTGCACCACCTGACATCCACCGGAAAGTAGCAACCAATAATTCAAAGACCAAGGCAGTGACATCTCCGGCCCATCCCCAGTTTGGATATCAGCCAGCACGCCAACAACTTAAATCAAGAAATAGTTTTCTAAGATCTACAGAGATACTTGCTGGAACACCTCAGCAAGTGAGAGTCCAAAAGTGGCAGGCTCAAATCCACAACCTCAATCGATGGCCTCCTGGGCACACAGAAAACTGGGCGACTTGGTAGGCGCTGAACAAACTGCGCTCTGGCACCACGAGATGCAGAGCCAACCTTAAGAAATGTGGCTACAAAGTGGAATCCACATCATGCGAGTGCAGAGAAGAGCAAACCACAGACCACCTACTGCAATGCAACCTGAGCCCTGCCACATGCACAGTGGAGGACCTTCTTATAGCAACACCAGAGGCACTCCAAGTGGCCAGCTACTGGTCAAAGGACATTTAATAGAATGCCAAGTTTGCAAACTTTGTGTTGTTGTTTTTTAAATGCAGTACAATTGTTTGGTTCGCTCCTGACACGATCAATAAATATACCATTAGCCTGTCCTGTGCTGTCTAGTTACGTTGCCTTTTGATTTGTGATCAGTTTATCAATCCCTTATTTGTTTTATTCAAAGTGGTAGAAATACTTCTTGACTTCTTTGCAGAACACTTTTGGATGCTCAGGTGGGTCATCATAACCGCCATCCAATCAGTGCCACCCACATCTCATTGCTCTGTACATTTGCAGGAATTCTCCCTGGTCCATAAATTGTGCCATGGAAAGCATGCGGCCAAACAGCTGGAACCATTTGCAAATAATAATTACCTGTAAATGCTACATTTGTATTTCTCCTTCCCTGTTTTTGCTGGATAATCAGTTCAGAATTTCATTCCAATTAATAATTGATAAAATTCTTGCTATTACTTAACACCAGTTTGACCATGTTACCTAACTAAATTATAATTGACATAATTGAGATGAAACTGATTCAGATTTCCACTCTAACATGGTCATGTTCTAATGTTAATTGTTGTTTAGAAGTATTTAGTGACATCAATATGATTTGTATTGTCGACGGCTTTCATGGCTGGAATCACTAGGTTCTTGTGGGTTTTTTCGGGCTATAGGGCCATGTTCTAGAGGCATTTCTCCTGACGTTTTGCCTGCATCTATGATACAATCAATATGATTGTATTTCAAAATGTAAGAGTGTCTCCAGAACTGAGCTGTCCATTTATTATCGGGAGAACCGGATTTTTTTTTACACAAAAGAGAGGAATATATTGTAACACCTGATACCATGTTTGAGGACAATGGTGGTATCTCTTTAGAGAATGCTAAGTGTTTTACAATTCTGGGATGGTTTTCCATGCCTGAGCAATGACATGATTCATCATACATGACCCAGGAACAGGAGAAATACTGCTTTTTGAAGTAGCAAAAGTTAGACACCCTTCCCTGTTCCTTTTTTCCACAATATTTCTTGTTGTTGTTCTGTACCCTTAAGTAAATGATGACTTATGGCAACACCATCATAGCGATTTTGTGACAAGATGTATTCAGAGAAGGTTTGCCATTACTTTCCTTTGAGGCTGAGAGTGTGTGACACTGACTGTCCCAAGTTGGTTTCCACAACTTGGGACAGTTTTGTCAATACCCCAACCTCAAGATGGCTTCAAACTGGATTTTATTGCCTGTGTTGAACCTCATTGATCTCCCAGAATCCTAGTCTAACACTGAAACCACTTCACCATGCTGGCTGTCATGAGAATACCACCTCTATATGGCACCACCATATAGACCTGAAATCTAGAACTGACCCTCAAATATAAATTTTGTCCTTAAGTGTAATTTGCCTGTTTCCATTCTAAGGAAGTGATTTTCTCTTTAAATAAGAATGGCTTCAAGCATGGATAATATTCAGAGAGATAAGACCACCAGGTTTTCAGGTCCCACCTTGTTTTATCTTTCCAACCTCTGACGATTGTGGCATGTATAGCAGCTATCATAGATTTCAATATATGTGATCATTTGTTGTTCCTCTCCTTTACCTCTATGTTGAGGGACAGAAATCGAGCTTTATACGGCAAAGGGAAGCACAATTGGAACCTGTATTCCAGCCATAAAAAATGTAAACAGTTTTTGTTATTATTTTTTAGATGGCTACGGTTCGTATTGTATTGTTTTGTTATCTGTATGAAGAAATTAATAAAAAAATATATTATGAAAAAAAGCATGGATAATATTTCTATGTTTATAGATCAGCCTGACAATCCCAATGAGGAAAACTGTGGGGTGATTCGGACAGAATCGTCAGGAGGATGGCAGAATCGGGACTGCAGCATGGCTTTGCCCTACATCTGCAAGAAGAAACCTAACGCCACCACAAATACATACTCAGTAGGTGCGTGGTTTGGAGGAAGGCAGTAGCTGGGTAGTTTAAATTAACTACTACATACTTGTGTTTCCTTAACACCTAATAAACATGGCCTGAGCTTGTGGTCAGTCATGGAGTGTTTGCTAACATTCTGACTGATCAAAGTGGAAGTGTCAGAAATAGAAAGCAGAAAATTGCTCAGATTGAGAAAATCATGCATTGTTCTTGTGGGCAGGCAAAGCCTCGGAGGTCTGGAAAGCTGAGTGGAAAGACTGGGTCCATTGACAGCGTGAGTAGAGCAAAGGACGTAGGCAAAGTGGACTGATAAGTTTGGATCCTGAGGGAAAGTGCCCCTGAAAAGCCTAAAGGGTAGAGGAAAAACAAAGAGTTAAAAGAATGAGGTAGAAAACCTCACACTAAGTATAGGGACTGAAGTAAGTTGCGTTGGTGGAAAGGAAGTGGACCAGGCAGGTTTTTTTGTTTTTGTGGTTAAGAGACAGTCACTTCGGGGGTCAGTGATGAGAAAGAGGCTAAAAGCAGAACTTTACATGTAATCAAAGAAAGTTCTGGATGGAGATATTGGGTATCAATGATGTTATAATATTAACATGTATAATATTAACATGTATAATATTAACATGTATAATATTACATGTAATCAAAGAAAGTTCTGGATGGAGATATTGGGTATCAGTGATGTTATAATATTAACCCCTTAAGATGAAGAGGTTGATAGGACTTCTGCAACAAGTTGTTTATTCTTTTAATGGCAGAGCTTAGAGACATTTATTTTTTGTACTACCACACCCAAAATCCCCTAATTCCCTAGCCTACATAGCTATTGATCATGCTGCCTAGGGATTCTGTGAGTTGTATTTTTTAAAAAATAAGCTTTGATGTGATCCTGTGAGATTTTGAGAACCTTCAAGATGGAACTTATATTGTGCTCTGCCTCATTTCTAGACTTTTACAGGAAGTCCATATATTCTCTCTTGTGTTTTTGTAATGCTACTTCTATTGTGTGTGTGTGTGTGTGTTTTTGTTACTGGGAAAAATGTCTATTAAGGAAAGAAGAATGGAACTGCCATTTGCAGGTTATCACTTATAAAGTACTAAACGGTTAGGGACCCAACTACCTTTGTGACCGTATCTCCCTCCATGAACCAGCCCGGGCCCTCCGATCTTCTGGGGAGGCCCTTCTTTTGCCCCTGCCAGTTTTACAAGCTCGCCTGGTGAGCAGAAGGGAGAGAGCTTTCTCCTCTGTGGCCCCCCGACTCTGGAACTCATTACCTGGAGAGATTAGGCAAGCCCCTACCCAGGCCCGTAGCCAGGATTTGATTCGGGGGGGGGGGGGGGCTGAGTTTGAGTCTGAGTGAAAGAGGGTCTACCCTAGCAAACCTTTTGTTTTGTTACCCCAATACCCCCATGCATATGGGATATATTGAGCATGGTGATCAGATCATGATATGAATAAACATAACAGTTTAAATAATGTACCAGTAAGGCCTTCTCGCAGACCACCATGAGAATTTCAGGGGAGGCTGAAGCCCCCCAAGCTCCCCCTCCCAGCTACATGCCTGCCCCTACCCTAGAAGCCTTTAAAAAGAACCTTAAAACCTGGCTCTTCTGCTGCGCCTTTGGTGAGTAGGTATACAACGTCATACTATTGCTCAGACTCAACGTTTTTGTCCTTGGAGTATACATCCCCCCCCTCGTGGGAAAGCTTGATTCCACAATCCCCGTTTTAATGAGCCCCCCTCCACAAATAACCTGCTTCACCTTTTATCTCACCCATGTTTTTAATCAGTTTTTAAATCATTTTCTTGCACATGTAGCCGCCCATTGTCACTGTGACTGTGTTTATTGTAATCTTATATCGTTAATGTATTCATATGTTTTATGTAATTATGATGTTGTTGTTTGTTGCATGTGTTTTTGGTTTTATTTTGCTGTAATTTGTTGATTGGGCTTGGCCTCATGTAAGCCGCCCCGAGTCCCCTTGGGGAGATGGTTGCGGGGTATAAATAAAGATTATTATTATTATTATTATTATTATTATTATTATTATTATTATTATTATTATATCCATAAACCTAGGAGTTGCCTGTCTGGAAACATCCTGCTCTCTAGCTTGCCAGTTTTGGGTGTCAGCACAACAGTTGAAGAGCTTGAAATGAAATAAGCCACATAATAGTTCCAAATGCTGCTTGACAATGCTTCGTGATCCCAATCCCCATAGAGTCTGAGGTGAAGGTAGACTGCGATCCGAGCTGGCAACCCTTCCAAACAAACTGCTACCGCTTGATCAGTGAAAAGAAGAGCTGGTTGGATGCTAAGAAAACTTGTTTGCGGAGTGAAGGTGACCTGGTGAGCATCCACACCTTTTCTGAACTGGAATTTGTTACCAAGCAGATCAAGCAAGGTAAGCAGCTATCAAGTTCAGTATGTAGGGAGGTATATATCTTGTATGTGAAGATGTTTTCTTGTGCTTGTATTTTCAGAAGAAACATGGAAAAGCTCCAAAGTACAGTTGCCCCTTCACGTTTGTGGATTTGATTATTCACAGATTTCATTGATATGGTCTCTCTAGTAATCTCTTAAGTTCTCCAGTGTGGATCAAGGGTCAACTTCCAGTGGAAATTGTCCATAGAGTCACACTAGAGGATCTAGATATTTCTAGAGAGATATTTTCTCAGTTTATAAAAAAAAACTTGAATATCTCAGATTAAAATAAAATCTGAAACAGGATACATTGCACAAATATTTATTCAGTATTTTTTTAAAAATCAATTGGCTGCCGATAAGTTGCCGAGCCAAATTCAAGGTGCAGGTGATGACCTATAAAGCCCTAAAGGATTCGGGCCCTGTTTATCTCCACGATTGCATCTCCTTCTATGAATCGGTGCGAACTCTAAGATCTTCCGGGAAGACCCTCCTTTCGCTCCCACCACTGTCACAGGTACGGTTGTTGTGGATGAGAGAGAGGGCCTTCTCAGTGGTGCCCTCCCCCCCTGGAACGCCCTCCGCAGGGAAATTAGTCAGGCCACATCTCTCCCCTCCTTTTGTAAGAGCTTGAAGACCTGGTGGTTTCAACAAGCCTTTGAGAACGGCTAGTTCTAGCTCAGTCCTAGACATTGTTGAATATAGCCTTATTCTTCCTACCAATTACCCAGGCCACTTCCTCTAATAGGCCCTGGAAATGAACTGCCATAGACCTGTACCTATTATTGTTGTTGCCTGCTATAGCATCGCACTTAATTCCCGGGTCCCCTAGAATTTTTGAGCTTGCACTAATCTCGACCCGGCCTTTTAAATTGCCTTGAACAGGCAGGATTACTTATAATATATATGTGTTATGGCGACAATTTTTATACTTATATTGTTTTATGTTTATGTTTGTGTTGTTTACTCTGTATTGATGATGTTACTTGAAAACCTCTCTGAGTCCCCTCAGGGAGATAGAGCGGTATATAAATAAAGGTTATTATTATTATTGTTATTGTTATTATTATAAAATCTTAAACAGAATAGATTAAGAAAAAAAACTGCAAAAGAAAACTGGTGGGTAGTTGCTTAAAGAACTATATCTTGTCCTGTTGGAGGTACGTCTACTGTAGGGTTATAGTTCCAATGGAAGATACTGAGACTGCAGCTTTCTGTTCAAATGCTCACAAAATGGAGGGGATTGGTTTGGGAAGAGGCAGTGATGTCCTATGAGAGGCAGGCAAACAATTTGGTTAATTTTGTATAAATTCTTTCCTGGTTTTGGCAGATGTAGAAGAACTTTGGATTGGCTTGAACGATCTGAGGCTACAGATGAATTTTGAGTGGTCAGATGGCACACCAGTGCTGTTCACATTCTGGCATCCCTTTGAGCCCAACAATTTCCGAGACAGCCTGGAGGACTGTGTGACTATCTGGGGACCGGTAGGTAAAGAGTGGAGGGGGAATTTCTCATGGGACACTGTTCTCGGGGTCCTGTTCTTATTTGCTGTGTAAAGGATTAATTGATTGATGGAATTAGCTAACTAAATATTTGCTTGCATATTAAAATGTGGTTCTTCATTGGGATGACACTGGACAAAGTCACTAGTTCTTTGAATCTTAAAAAGCTCTGCTGTTATACCGATTTCCCCCTTTCTTGGAACACATTTTATGTAAAAGAAGTATGGATTCAGTTAGTGCTCAGTTTCCCACCATTTCTCTTTTGTATCTTTAACTGCCAAACACTGCAATTCTTACTTTTTGTGTGTGTTACTTTAATAGGTGATAGTTTTTGTAAGTACAATAGCAGATAAAATAAAATATTGAGGACTCCTCTGATGGAAAGTGAAGACATGTAGAATAGAATTCAGATAGGAGTGGAAGGACAGCCAAGGTTAATGTAAGCATGGAAGGAGAGGGATAAATGTAATTACATCTTTAGACTTAGACTACAGCAACACTGTAGAATTGATGCAGTTTGACACTACTTTGACTGCCATGGTTCAATGCTGTGGAATCATGGGACCTGCAGTTTTGCAAGATTTTTGGCCTTGTATGCCAAATAGTACTGATGCTTCATCAAAGTATAAATCAAGGGATTCCATAGCATTGAGCTATGACAGATGTTTAAACCATCATCTCCAGGCGCGATTGGTGGGAACGAGGGAGAGGGCCTTCTCGGTGGTGGCCCCCCGACTCTGGAACTCACTTCCCAAGGACATCTGGCATGCCCCAACATTGGCAGTCTTTAGGAGTCTTTGCTTCTTCAAGCACGCTGACGTTTGTCCCTGTCTTCCCAAGAGATTTGCAGGATTTTCCGGAGGCAGCGCTGATGGAATCGTTCCAGGAGTTGCATGTGACGTCTGTAGACAGTCCACGTTTTGCAGGCATAGAGCAGGGTTGGAAGGACAATAGCTTTATAAACAAGCACCTTGGTATCCCTACGGATGTCCCCAGTCCTCAAACACTCTCTGCTTCATTTGGAAAAATGCTGCACTCACAGAGCTCAAGTGGTGTTGTATTTCAGTGTCAATGTTGACTTTGAGTGGTGGCTGCCAAGGTAGCTAATGGTCAACATTTTCTAATGTTACACCATTAAGTTGTATTTCTGGCATTCGAAAGGAATTGGCTGGTGACTGCTGGAACAGCACTTTGGTTTTCTCGGTGTTCAGGCTGAGCTTCTCGTATGCTTCTGCGAAGGAGTTTAGAGTGGCTTGTAGATCTTCTTCTGGCAAGAAGACAAACATTGCACACACATTGCAGCAGGCAATGGCAGATCTACCTGCCTCCATAACTACAGTTAGTTCTATACCCCTTTTAGACTGTAATAACTTACTGGTATGACTGCTGCACACCCTCAGAGATTGAGTCCCAAAAGGATGAGGCAACAATTGTATATAGCTGGTGGTAGCTAGCTCTGCATCCCCCACCAAAAGCAAGTTAATGACTCATCAAAAGCTCCATCTGTTTAGAACACTGGTTTGTTTCCAGCTTTTGGGCTTCCAGGTGTTTGGGACTTTAACCCCCAGAAGCCCCAAACAGCTTGGCCAACTGTCAGGAATTCTGGGAGCTAAAATCCCCAACACCTGGAAGACCAAAGGTTATGAACCACTGCTTTAGTATGGCCAAAACAAACAAACAAACAAATAAAATCCTTTTAAAAAGTCAGGAATTGCCGCCAAAATGCAATTCACCTTCTGCCCTTCCCTCTAATACTTGGTTTATTAAAGGGGATTTCCTTTCATGCAACAAGGATAAATTGATTCTGAATAAACTGCAACTCATTTTTCTTAATGAACATCTCTCCCGAAATGTCATCTCAGGCTACTTCGGCTTTGGGTTATAGTAGATTGGATGGATATTTTAAAGTAATTGTCCTTAAGGGGAAAAAATAACATGTTCCAGACCTGTCTAAATGCATCTTCTCTTATGAACCATCGAGGACTCTAAGATCATCTGGGGAGGCCCTGCTCTTGGTCCCACGTCTGGCAAGGATGAGAGACAGGACTTCTCAGTGGTGGCCCCTCGGCTATGGAACGCCCTCCCTAAGACATGGGTATTCGAGCAAGCAATTGCAAATATTGAATAACAGACATAGGAAACAGAATAGCTACACGATGGGACTGGACAATGTTTTAATGAGTATTTATTGACTGACTAGCCGTCCCCTACTATGCGTTGCTGTGGCCCAGTCTGGTGATTGGAAAATAATTAGAGAAAATAAAGTAATTGTGGCCTGTCTTTATGTTTGTGGGTAAACAGTATTTCTCGCTGTTTCTTTGTCAGTGTTGATGTGGAGGTTGTCTGGCTTGCCTACTCTGGAACATTCAACATATCATTGTTCTTCTTTCGGGGTCCCTTTCAAATCTATGATACTATATCTGTGTGTGTGTGAATCACATACATCTACCTATATCTATGGCTGGATGGCTCTTTGTCAGGAGGGCTTTGATTATGTTTTCTTGCCCTTGTGAAGGGAGCTGGACTGGATGGCCTTAAGTATTTTCTGTTGGTCATGGGGGTTCTGTGTGGCAAGTCTGCCCCAATTCTGTCATTGGTGGGGTTCAAAATGCTCTTTGATTGTTGGTGAACTATAAATCCCAGTAACTACAACTCCAAAATATCAAGGTCTATTTCCCCCAAACTCCATCTGTGTTCATATTTGAGCATATGGGATAGCAATTCTAAATCTAAATTGCTGTTCCAGGGGGGTGGGGGGAATGGGGGGAGGGGGGGTGTTGGGCGATACATAACTAAGGAATGTATAAAATGTCATTTAAGGAATATTTACTTTTGGAATAATGTATATTGAAATAAGTCCTGTATGGCAAAATTTTGTTGATTGTTGGGATGTATCAAATAAAAAAATTAAAAATTAAAAAAATATTTGGGCATATGGAATATTCGTGTCAAGTTTGGTCCAGATCCATCATTGTTTCAGTCCACAGTGTCTCTGGATGTTGGTGAACTACAACTCCCAAACTCAAGGTCAATGCCCACCAAACCCTTCTAGTATTTTCTGTTCGTTATGGGAGTTCTGTGTGCCACATTTGGTTCAATTCCATCATTGGTGGAGTTCAGAATGCTCTTTGATTGTAGGTGAACTATAAATCCCAGCAACTACAACTCCTGTATGACAAAAGCAAAAATTTTTGAGTGAAGAACATACATTGGGTTGTTAGGTGTATGCTGTCCAAATTTGGTGGCATTTCGTCCAGTGGTTTTTGAGTTATGTTAATCCCACAAACGAACATTACATTTTTATTTATATAGATGTTTTATTGCTGTTGTCATGATTTTATTGATGTTACGTTTTTATATTGTACTTGTGTTTTGGTTACATTGAATTTTGCCTTGTAAACTGCCTCAAGTCACCAGAAGGCTGAGAGGGGCGGTATACAAATACAGTTAAATAAATAAATAAATAAATATGTAAGGGCAGACGCATGGTGAAAAATCTTCCATTGGGAAAAGGTGGACTGTTTGTAGAGGGGCAGTAGAAAGGGCAACAAGGGAGTCAAGACCAAATTGCTGTGGACTTAAATGTGGCAGATGCTTAGAATCAACTAGATCAGTGGTTCCCAACCTTCCTAATGCCGCGACCCCTTAATACAGTTCCTCATGGTGTGGTGACCCCCAACCATAACCCTAAAATTATGAATTGCCATGTAAATAATGATCTGCAGCATGTACTTTCCATCACTGGAGCAAATTTGGCACAAATACCCGGTATGCCCAAATATGAATACTAGAGGGTTTGGTGGGGGGATTGATTTTGTCATTTGGGAGTTGTAGTTGCTGGGATTTACAGTTAACCTGAAAACAAAGAGCATTCTGAACCCCACCAACAATGGAATTGAACCAAAGTTGGCACACAGAACTCTCATGACTAACAGAAAATACTGGAAGGGTATGGTGGACATTGACCTTGAGTTTGGGAGTTGTAGTTCGCCTACATCCAGAGAGCACTATGGGCTCAAACAATGATGGATCGGGACCAAAGTTGGCACAGATACTCAATATGCCCAAATGTGAAAACCGATGAGGTTTGGGGAAAATAGACTTTGACATTTGGGAGTTGTACTTGCTGGGATTTATAGTTCACCTACAATCAAGGAGCGTTCTGAACCCCACCAATGATAAAATTGGGCCAAAGTTCCCACATAGAACCTCCATGACCAACAGAAAATACTGTGATTTCTGATGGTCTTTGGCGACCCCTCTGACACACCTTCGCGACCCTCCCAGGGGTCCCGACCCCCAGGTTGAGAAACACTGAACTAGATCCAGACAAATTTTGAATCAGTTAGATAGTCAGTTGACACTAGGGTTGCCAGGTCAGGACTGTCACAGGCCTTGAGATTTCAAGGCCAAAACTTAAAGTCTGGATATGGCTCCTCATGATGTCACAGGAGGCAGGCCCTGACAATAGTACAAGAAGCAACCCTTGTTGATGCCATTAAGCATGAATCATAGTGAGAATGTGCCATTCAAATAAAAAATGAGAAAGATTGTGAGACAGACATATTTTTAAAGACTGCACTCCTCCTAATCCTGAGAACTGGAGAAGATGGGCCAGACTCTGAAATCTGGGAACCCTAGTAGATGCAGCAGGAAGGTAGAGCAGTGAAGGTATACCATGCCATACATAGTTGGAATATTTTGAAATTATCACTTATTGTGGAAATGCTTTTCCTTAAACTGGAATGCTTCTGCTTTCTATCCAGGAAGGGAGATGGAATGACAGTCCCTGCAACCAGACACTGCCTTCTGTCTGTAAGAAGCGGGGTCGTGTGAGTCAAGGGAGAGAAGACGAGGACCATGGCTGCAGAAAGGTGACAAAACTCTATATTGTACATCCAAATTCAGGACAAAGGGCAATGGAAAGTGGAAAGGAGGATGTTTTATGTTTCAAGGGCTACCTAATGGATTCTTACATTACGGTCTCTCCCACCCAGTTGGCTGTTGACATAGCAGTGATTAATGGCTATAAATATTTTTATTTTTCAGGTATTACCGTATATACTTGAGTATAAGCCAACCCGAATATAAACCGAGGCACCTAATTTTACCACCAAAAAATGGGAAAACTTATTGACTCGAATATAAGTTGAGGCTGGGAAATGCAGCAGCTATTAATACAAAATAAATATAAATACCAATAAAATTACATTAATTGAGGAAACAGCAGGTTAAATGTTTTTCAATGTTTATATAAAACTAATTTAAAATTAGACTGACCAACTTTGATTAAACCATTATTCTGACCTTTTTCAGTCTCAATGTGCTTACGTATCCTTCCAATAATAATAAAGAAAGTAAAATAATACATGTAATAACAACAATAATAAAGTAAAATAAGAAATGTAATAGTAATAAAACAAATAGAGTAAAATAAATATAATAATAGAGTAAAATAATGCAAATGTAATAATACCAATAATAGAGGAAAATAATAAATGTAATAAAAATAATAGTAATAACAGAGTAAAATAATAAATAACTTTGACTCGAGTATAAGCCGAGGGCAGCTTTTTCAGCCTAAAAAGGGGGCTGAAAAACTAGGCTTATACTCGAGTATATACAGTACTTGAGAAATAGTAATTGCAAACAGAGGGATGGAGGGAAAAAAACAAGGTGCATGTAAAAACTTGTTAAATGTAAAAGCGAGCAATATGCTCTCTGACCTTTTAAAATGAGCCATTGCTCTTTAGAAGACAGTGCATGGCCGTGTGACGCCTGTGCAGATGTGCAGCATCCAAATTCACTTTTCCCCTTGCAGCCCAATTGTGCCACATCCAGGGAACATCACCTGGTCAATGCCAAGACCGCCTCACCTCTGCACCAAGAGTGCCAGAGAGTAGGAAGGGGGCACATTCTGGTTTTTTTGGCACATTTTAGCCTCTTAAATAGTGAAATATTGAGCAATATTAAAGATCTGTAAAGTTTACTTGAATTTTTTGACTGAAATAAATACCGAATTCTCTGTACAGAAGATTAAGGCTGGTTTGCAGTTTTCCGGAGGAGAAAAGTAGCAATGGTTTCTTAGCATTTGATTGTTTGGTTAGAGACCTCTTAAATGAAATTTATTACACAGTTTTGAGGATGGAGGTTTTTTAAACATTGGCTCAGGTGTTTATGAACAAAAAATGGCAACTTTGGCTAATAATCATCCATCCCCCATCTGGAAATGATGCTAGTGGTTGTGGGATTTCTGACAGAAGAGGGATGGGAGTGAGTGTGGTGTTTGGTCAGGCAGCCTCTGAATTACTTCTCCTAAGTGGAAGGTAGTACTTACTTACTTACTTAGGCGATGCCTCGTAGTCCGAGGATGATGGTCCTCCAAATGTAGTAACCTGGCGGTGGGTCCGTAGGTGACTGGAGCCCTATTCTTGATCTGTATCTTCTCCCACAGTGATGGCATCGGTTTCCAAGTGGGAGGTGGTCCCAGTCGAGGTTGGCTTGACACGCCTTCCTCTTGGCACATTTCTCTCTTTCGCCCTCCATTTGTGCCTCTTCAAATTCTGCAGCACTGCTGGTCACAGCTGACCTCCAACTGGCGCACTCAAGGGCCAGGGCTTCCCAGTTTTCAGTGTCTATGTCAGAGTTTTCAAGGTTGGCTTTGAGCCCGTCTTTAAATTTCTTTTCCTGCCCACAAACATTCCATTCTTGTTTGAAATCAATCACGGTTCTAATTACAAAATGTGCCAATTTCTCAGTCATCACCAAAGCGGTCTGGAACCTTACTTGAGTGACATTGTTACTTGGCTGTGTTCCTCATTATATCCCTGCATATTTGCTACTCTCCTATTATGTTGTACAGTTCTGTGCATTTTTAAAAAGCTTTGTCATATAGCAATCCAAAATGATTTGATAAAGGAGCCAAAGCTTTGAAAATTTTGTGTTTATTGAGGTATTACAGGGGATATGGCCCAAAAAGCTTAGTTTTGAACGATGTTGCCTTTTCCATCTGGAGTCTCAATCATGCATATTATGCATAGTGTTGTTCACATTGCCAGTATTCCATCCAAAGGAAAATCCCAAAGCTCCCCTCCTTTACAAAAATCCTTCTTCCATCTCAGATACTCATTTCCTCTGTTCCCAACCCTTGGGGCAAACAACCATTCTTGAATTATTATAACATAATGATTTCTGAATCTAGTCCTGGGTAATGATTGAAGTGCTTTATAGAAATTTGCCTGGATCCACAGAAAATGAAAATGTTCAAATCTGTGCTCATGAATTACAAATGCCTGGAAGTGACTCTGTGTATAAGTAAGTCTTGCTGGGTTCTGAGATCCAGAAATTCCCCATCTTCCCTCTCCCACTTTCAGAAGGCATGTGCCTACCTGGTTTGTTTTCTCCATGCTTTAAATTGATCAGCTGGTGAACTGTACAGATACATTGTCTTCACTGGCATACATAATGAATGGAGACCATATGCTTCTAAATACACTGCTGTTATTCACTTGCAAATGCTCAGATTATAAGTAAACCTTTCTGACAGCTATTTTCTGACAGTATATTTTTGGTTTGAATTATGGAACCTTTTGTTTGTTGCTGAGATCTACAGCATTCCTCATCTGTGGCTTATGCTGGTTTAGGCAGCTGGGAGGTGAAGTCCTACAGCTCTGGGAGAACTTAATGGTTCTCACCCATTATCTGTTATTTTACCATTATTTTATTAAGTCCAACTATTGTGGTTTGCTGTTGCTCGACTGCAATGTTGTTGCTATTCCTGTTGCTATACTTCCTTTGGTGTTTAAACACTCTGGCATATCAATAACACTTACATTTTAAGCTTATTTGACACATCTGTTTCAGGCTGGATCTACTGTTCAGGATCTGATCCCAAATTATTAGACCTGGGCAATGCATGGTTCTAAATGGTTCTAAAATACTTACAAAACTAAAGTTCTGATGGTGAAAATTTTCAAAACTCTAACAAAAATCTCAAAATTTCATTATAAATGGCAGTTCCTAATTGGTTCTGTCATAAAAATCGCCAATAATGAAATAATAATTAAATTTTGAAAGTTTTGTTAGAGTTCTGAAATTTTCACCACCAGAACTTTAGTTTTGTAAGTACTTTAGAACCATTTAGAACCATGCATTGCCCAGGCCTAAAATTATCTGTTTATCCCACGTTTATCTGGTAATGTAGACTCATATAATCCAGTTCAAAGTAGATAATCTGGAATCATATCCAGGAATATAGGGCAGTGTATATCCAGTCTCTGAAAGAGAGAAGTGTAAAAATATGCAAAACCAAGAAAACAGTTGCACAGAGATGGCCATTATTCCCACTGTGTGTTTCATCACATTTTCCAGCTTCAATGAACTTGACCAATCTGCCCCAGGAAAAAGGGATTTTCCTCCAAGCCAGTTGTATTAAAAGTATATATTATGATTAAGGGTTCTTCAAATGTATTAGGACTAGGATTATATTGTTATTTTTTGTTTGGTTACTTTTAATTTTTGTTGCTTGAAAACTTCATAATTTAGTTCAAAATTGTTCCCATTTTGCAGATTTGGGGAAATGAGTCTGAAAACAGCTGACTCTTTCAAGGCTGCCAAATTGCAAATTCAGGACTGGCCAGTGATTTGAATCCAAATTAAAATGCAACACACTAGCCATGGGTCTTCCTTTCCCTTCCTTCTGTTCCCAGCATCAGCATTTCTAAGTTTTTTTCCAGCTGGTTGTTTACATTTCCTCTTGAAGTTCCCTCCAGCTGTCGGAGGCTCTCTGTCCCTTTGCTGGCTCACAAACCCCTGCTAGAAACCCAGCAACCCCTGCCTCTTGTCATAAAGCAACCAAGATGGTATTTTTGGCAAAGGATGAGCCCATCTGCTGGAGCTATCTAGGGGATATAGTCCTCGCAGGCAGCATTGCAAACTTGAATGAAGGCTGACTTCAAATATATTTCTTTCCCTCTCTTCTTCTTTCCTCCTTACATCTCTCTTTTGTCTTTGGCATCATAACAAGGTCCCTCACAGACCTCAATGCACCATAGGTCTCCCACATAACCAGGAAAAGAAAGCTGTAGGCCCTTTATGCTGTCTGAAAAGGCCATCCACCTTTATGGAGAATTTTATTTATTACTCTGCCTTTAGCTTCACATATGCCACATATACCTCTACATATTATCTTGCCCAATAGGAAAACATGATGTTGATGTCATGCAATCTCTCCCTTCAATTAGAAACATGGCCGAGAGCACTTTAGTATCTTCTTCGTCTACAGCTGGTTTTAACGAAGAGGCTGCTGGGAAGGCTATCTCCACCCAGTCAGGAATTATTATAAGCTACACCCCACTTTCAGATACTATTGAACCCCATTTCCCCAATATTAGTCAGCCTTGATAATAGTGAGGTATAAGTATCCAGCAAAGGATCGCCACCTTGTCGTGGGGCTGGAGCTTGAGCACCTCAATGATGTCATGAGTGAAACCGTGAAGGGCCACCCAAGATGGGATGGTCATGGCAGAGAGGTCAGACCAAGTGCGATCTCTGGGGAAGGCAATGGCAAACCACCCCAGTATTCTTGCCAAGAAAACTAAATGGACAAGTACAACCAGAGATATGTTGGTATGCCATTGGAAGATGGGACTATGGCATCCTTGAAGTGACTGGCTTGACTCTGAAGGAGCTGGGGGAGGTGACGACCAACAGGGAGCTCTGGCGTGGGCTGGTCCATGAGGTCATGAAGAGTCAGAAACGACTAAATGAATGAACAACAACAACAACAATGGGAGTAGTAGGTATGATGGCAAGCTGAATATTCTTTATCCCATCTTGAGAAAAAAGGCAATCATGACTCCTGTCATTCCTTTGG